CACCATTTTTGTTTAGAGCTCATCTACAATTGTACCTCTATAAATGCATGTGCATGCATTTAATTTATTTAATATAAAGAAATTAATCGAATATTATGTCGATATATATCATATACTTATTTTAATAAATACGTAGTGCAAATATATTTATGCATGAAATTTGGAAATTTAGAGGAAAGACTAAACTGAATGTTGTATAGAAAAGTTGGGATGACGCGTGTACTATAAAGACGCGTAAATGTATACAGTAATATCAGATATAGATGTGGAACGTAGATCTTAATTATTTAGGATTTATTCAAAGTGAGTTTTTTGTTACATACTAATTTCTAAATTAGTTAAAATGAGTGTTACTGCGCAATATATTTTCCTTTAAAATTTGTATACTAAAGTCTAAATTTGGCTACTAAATTGCCTTATCTTGCGACTGTACCCAATCAGCTTTGAATAATAATAAAAAAAAATTTCTTTTATAAATATATAGTGTGAAACTACAAAAAAAAAAAAAGAATTACAAGGCAGGAAGTGACTCATTTCGCTCTTTTTCACAATACTTTGCGATTAAAAATGCTACATCCAAACTTTGCTCATAATTAAGTCTAGGATCACAATAAGTCTTATAATTTTGTTCAAGATCTACTTGTGATAGTTCCATTGATCCTCCGATACATTCTAAATAAAGTTAGAGATTTAGATATCTATGGCGCATACAATGGCGTGCTAAAGTATTAAAATCGAGATAAAATGTTATATTTTTATTAATAAATCATTATAAAAAGGTTGATTAAGAAATTAAATTAATTTCTTAAAATAGCTTTTTTGTAAGATTAATTAATAAAAATATAAACTTCATATGGATAAAATTTTTAATTTTTACGATGCTACAAGTACTAACCAGTTACGCCTTCACCCGTAAGTTCAAAATGCACACCATTCAATTTACTTGCATTATTTTTATGAATGTGTATCACTTTTGAAAGTTCCTTAATAGTAAACCGAATATTATTAATGTAAATTTTTTTTTTGCAAACACAAACATTTAACAAAATTGCGTTTAATAAATTTACCTCAATTATTGAATTAAAATATCGAGTTTTCACACCTGAACTTGTTACTTTTGTGCTAATAATTAATGTTAAAGTGATTAAATAATTAATTAAATTATGTCAACGAATATGAATTATGTCAAAATGTATAGTACTTACTTTCCGTGCATTGGGTCGCACGTCCAAACGACAATGTGACCTGATTCCTTAACAGCCTTAATGTGATCTGGTAAGAATTTTTCCACCTATGATATAACATAATTTACAAAATTATTATCATTGGCAAATTGAAAGAATTGCGACCACGTGACTACAACTAAAGTTCCAATCATTTATCCGGTTATTTATTGGATATACAATATTTGGTGGATAATTGGATAAATAGATTAATGAAATTATTCAATAAATTATCTATTTAAGTTAGTATTATCCTATTTAATCTTAAATGTAAAATAAAAGTTTCTCTCTAAAATAGGTACATGAAAGTTATATTACATATATGGCAGATAAATCAGGTTTATCCTGTATATCCTGTGTAGTTGGACACAAGCAAATTTTGCAATAAAGTATAGCCGGCCGCTTATACTTACTGCAAAATTTCGCTTATACCCAACGACCCAGTTCTCATAAATTCTGGGACAAATTTGTTGCCCGAAATCTTTTCGGTTTCATTTTGCAAATTATCTCAAATTATCTCAAATTATCTACTCTCTGGAAACTACATCGCTATCTTCGAACTTTCAGTCCGGAGACAGCAATATAGTTTCCGGAGAGGACGAAACCGGGTAACGAGCAAAATTTTAATTTGTCCCAGAATTTATGAGATAACGTGTCGGATAAATGGATGACGGATCAATCCGGACCAATCCGGATTAATTCGGATTAATTCGGATTAAGTCGGATTGGAACCCTTAACTATAACCATG